TCTCGCTAACTTGCTGATGATGATGGCCACTCTCTGACATAACAGCAATGGATACTCTGCTTCACTGGCCGTGTCATACTGCCACCTTCCGTCCAGGGACTTACTTACTTTCCAAGCTTTGTGGTCATGGGAGTGGTCGCACATGACGCCGAGCTGACATAGGTCCCGGCAGTTGTGCAAGAAGGACGTCTTCTTGTCTCTGTTGCCCCCCGTGCATACACACTTGAAAGGTTGTGAAGTAGATCCCATGAAGGTCGAACAATGCTTTGATACATGGAACTTGCCACACGTAGCTGTTGGTAGGGTTCTCAATGAACACGAACGCGCCACATCGATGTGCATAAACGAAAACTCGTGCTGCAACAGAGTAACATGCGTTGGCCTGCTCGACGCGCGCCCTATCCCTCCCTTGAAGATGAGGTAGTCCACTCGGGTGCTCCGCACTGCGCAGAGGTGGCGGCGATGGTACTCCTAGCCGTTGCAGCCATCTAGGGATGGGTTTGTCTCGAGCTCTGGGCGATGTTCCGCATGGTGGGGCCATCGGGATGAAGAAGACTGTTCCACCATCGATCTTCTGCTCGATGTACTTTGCACTCGACTCTTTGGATAGATTCAAAACTATACAAGGTCCAACTCTGTTTTTACACATTTTGTGATCAATGCCTATTGTGATCAATGCCTAACGCTGCAAATCCATGCGACTTCAAGCATTTACTTAACTTACAAGATCCGGCAAACATTTCAAATGCAATTGGCGGAAACCGCTTGACATTTTCATCCAGCTTGCCAGGGTCTTGCCTGGAAAATTTGAAATCATCTGTACAAGATTTGGGCGTGCCTTCAGCTGCCCTGTCCACTTGCGACGCTTCTGCCATCTGCGTGGCTTCTGTGCTCTCGTCGAGCTCGTTGTGTTCGCCCCATTCCTGTGCCACGCCGCGCCGCCCAGTGCTCTCTTCCTCTCACTGATTGCACTGCAGGGCCCCATGGCCCCCCCCTCCAGCACTTCATGCAAATGTGAAGTCCTTTCCCACACTTGCCATCTTTCCCAGCCTTACGGCTACCCATCTGCTTCTGACTGCGGCGCTGCCTTTGTCTTCTTGGCTTCTGTCTCCTTGAGCCTCTCCTTCAACTTCTGGTTCTCACGCATCAACTTGCGCTTGCTGGCCGTCGACCCAGTGCTCTCCTGCATTGCTTCTCCATGGTCCTTGCTCGCACTTGCCTTTGCTCCGGGCAATGGCAGCAGCAAAGTGATGAACGCAGGCTCCATGATGACCTTCTCCAGTGCACTGTCAGCCAGGCGCTTCCCAGTTGCATCACGCCCAAGGTCTCCTTGCAGCTCCTCCGCCATCAGCTTGAATGCCCGCCGATCTGCGGCTGCGATCTGTGCCAGCGTGACTCCGGCATATCCCATGGGCGCCTCCCTCTGGTACTCTTGGAACATTTTGTCGATGAGCTTCTCATGGGCTGACGCCTGGTGTATGCCTGCCGAAGCCGAAGGTCCGTCTTCGTGTCCGCCTCTGGCAGCTTTGTCTCATCATGCGCCTTGAGGTGACCTGATGCGTCTTTCTTGATCAACTCCTCGGTCTTCACGTTCAGGAGCTCTTGGTCCCTCGTTGGCACCTCATGGGGGGCAAGGTACCTCAGCTCACCTTCGACCCTCATCGAGTGGCACTTGTCCACCACGTGATGAGCCGGCTCCAACTGATCGGACATCTGCAAGTGCCCATATGTCACCTTCATCTGCATCCAGCGTGTCTTGCGTTCCACTGGAGGCAGCTTTCTTGTTTTGCTTCCATCTGTCTCCTGGGTCCCTTCCAGCCTGCTTCGAAGCTCTGCCGCCACCACTGTGTATTGCGTATGCTTCATGGTACAACTTTCTCAACTTCGGCAGATCAGCGTGATCTCCTCCCCCCAATACAGGAACCACCACTTGATTCACAAAGCTGGTATCGTCTCCAGACCCAGGGGACCAACTGCTGGCGAAGGCAAAGGTTGAAAGGGTGGTCCATCCTCTTCGAGCCATGGCGTCCTTGTACCCCTCCAACCCCATGTCCTTCAACTTCGACTCAAAAACAGCCTGCGACTCCGTCAGCGTCGCCATGCCGCTCCCTGAACCGCGCCGGCCGCTTGATTTGAGCCCACTTTGCCACTTGCATCGACCGCTTCATTATGCCGTCAACCTCAACTTCACCTTGCTTCCACCTCTCAGTCTCTGTTCTGCCTATCATGTTCACAACACAACTACGACTTCGACCGACTGCGCAACACACTCCTCCGGCTCGTCGGTCCTCGCGGAGCCACTTCCATCTTGCAGGACTTCCCTGCACCACTCGACCTGAACCGGACTTCCCGGTCAAACGTCAAGTGCACTTGGGGGGAACGACTCCCCTGGATGTGAACATGTCACTGACACTTCACTTGCACTTCCGATGACTCTTTATCACAACTCACTTCAACTCTTCTTACTTACCACTCATTACTTCCCACTTCCCTTCCAACAAACACTTTTCCACTTCGCACTCGCACGGTGTCACTTGGCGTATCCTTGACACACCTTACAGAAACTCCCTAGGCCATAGACTTCCTCCTCCAGTTTGAACATCACTGGAGTTATGGCCCTCCCGCACGCTAGCTTCCCGGGAGTCACACTTCCATGGTGCAGTGTTCCTGTCAAACCATGCCTGTACAAATCGTGGTTCTTCTTCTTGGGTGGACCGATTTTGGCCCTGAGGACAGCTTCCAGGTTTCGTTCATCTGCACTCTCACCGCACTCCTCGTCAGTCTCTTCACTTTCACTTGAAAGCTCCTCCAGACTCACAACGCGGTGCATCTTCTTGTCTGGAGTGGGCACCTCGAGCATGTCCAGCTTCGGCTCACCGCCAGGGACCTCCTCATCCCCCTCCTCGTCCGGACTACCCCAGGCGAGCTTGTGGATGCACCCGGTTCGTCCTCATGCTGCCATCTCTGGTTACGAGGGGCATCCGGGCGAAACTTCAGGTTCCTGATCCTCTCGATGATGCCAGTGAGCGTCTCCAGGCCTTCCGCCAGTGCATCTCTGCTGTAGATCATGACACTCTTGTCCTTTGGCTTCACGTGGTATCCCATGAGCCTCCTCACCTTTTCATGCACCATCATCCAAGACAGTGCGGTCGCTTTCAATGAGTGTGCTCCCACGTTTCCAAGCGAGCTGGTGCCGGAGTACTTCTGAAGAACCTCACACAGCCACACTGTTGCCTCAGGCGTGGCCAGCTTCGCCCTGCTCCAGCCTCCACCTACCACTGGCGTCGGCAGGAAAGGCATCCCCGGCAAGGCTTTCAGCCCTGCCAGGTGCCTCAGCTTCAAAAATTCCTCAGCCCACGCTAAGCCTGACACTCCGACTGCAGGCGCAACCACGGGAAGAACTCGTCGAGCACGTCCTCCGGGTCCATCTGTCTTATGGATGGCCGTGCCACCCTCCAGATATCCTCCAAAGACTTGGGGCTCATTCTCAATCCCTTGGCTGTCTCCCATCCTGAGCCGCCCATACACGCAGAGCAGGCAATGCCCTGCAAACAGTCTGTCCTGCGTAGGAAACTCACGGCCAGCCAGCACTGCTTCAAGGGTCATCACCTGGTTCACGGTCAAGGCGTCCCTCTGCTTCAGCACCCGCTTGGTCATATAGCTTCTGTGCGATGAGCCTGCGATCCTGGTACTCTCCAGGACCTCATCCACACCTTCAAGCTGGATCGTCCCCTTGCAGAAAGCCAGGGCTCCTCGGAAACTGGTGGCCCTTGTGGCCGGAGCTCCATCTCTCCTCAACCCATCCACATAGTCGTAGCACTGCGTCTCGATGAGCGGAAAAGCCATCAGCCCTGTTGATCTCGCCCACCTGACATACATCATCATTGCACTCAATCTGACCTGCAGGGTGCCATTCTTCTTGCGGGCAAAGATGTCCTCCAACACCTCTTCACCACTCTGGTCGATCATCTCCGCAGCCTTGCAGCACTTTCTGGCCTCAACCACCCTGAGAACACCTTCTGCCGGTCGTTCGCTTCTGCCTGGTCCCATGGCATTCTCACCCTGTCTGACTTCTTGAAGCTAGCCTGGATCTCCAGCTTCTCATCCTTCGAGCTGCCACTCTTCGCCTCGATCTCGCCTTGCTCCATGGCCCATGCCTTAGTACCTTCTTTGCTCAGACAAGGGGCCTTCATGACTTGGGAGTCTGTCTGCAAAACCAAACCAGCGAATCCTTTTTCCCAGGGCATCTTCAACTCATGTGGGTACTTGTACTTGAGCTTCTTCATCTCGCTTTGAATCATGTCCTCCGCACTTCCACCACTCTCCTGGATGGCCACTCTCTTCTGAGGCCACGCCTGCTCAGCAAGCTTCTTCAAAGCCTCCAGGGGGCTCTCAAACACCATTTCCACATCGGAGTCGTCCACCACCTCAGTTGGAGAACCTGATGCCGGCAGAGGGTCATTGAGCCTCACATCACAGCTCCTCATACTGGTGACTTCTCTGACCCTGTCAGCCAGCTCCTGGAGGCTCTCTTGTGGCTGATCCTCGACGTCATCATCCAGGATTATAGGTCCCCCTCCCGTGTCATCCCCCAGAAAGAGGGGGCTCTCGTCCTCCAAGTCCATGGCCGACAAGAAAATGACACGGTAGGGGACACTTGAAGCCAAAATGGCACACGTACGCAACCGTTTCACAACTAACATTGTTTCACTGTTTCTTCGTTTTCAAAAAGCACCATCATTTCATGACGGTATGCATATATATACAGTAACACCTGGTTTAGATTTTTGGTCCATATGGTTGTACCACTTGCAGCCGTTAGTACAGTATATAGTACATGTAGAATTCCTGACAGTTCTCAAAGGCATTCCAGACCTAAACCATTCAAGGACAACGTAAATAATGATAACATTCTTTCAGACCTAAGCAGTATCGGGCTGAATACCCAAATAATTCTCTCAAAGCACCGGCCCCCATCCACGCGCGTCAATCGTCCGCGCCTTAGCGGCAAAGGCCTGGGTTCCCGTGAGGATATCAAAAAAGATCTCCTCGTCACGAGCCTCAAATCGGCCGCCACATGAGCGTCAGCACCGCAGGGGCTTGGGGGAATCAAAACAAGAGGAGCTGCGAGACGCTGCCAGAGAGTGTGATCCAATGGGTGAAAAATCGTCCGCAAATTGGCCCGTAGTATCTCTGGTGCCCTGGCTGGCCGCACCACCAGCTCAGACCTGGCGGAATGATATGAATCGAGCATGTGGGATTGGCAGGTGGAAGCAAAAGACTGCAAATGACTGCGTCCACGCTAGTAGCTTAAGTAAGGTACTAGTTACTAGTTACCTCTCCCTACTAGCTACGTACTACGTAGTTACCTCTCCCTACTATTTACCTCTCCCTACTAGTCACCTCTACGTACTACGGCCTACGCCCCAACCTAAATTTTAAAAAATAGACTTGTTGGTAGCTCATGCTCTCTAACTGGATGAAAGCTAGTCTGGTGTCATTTGGTCCATGAACGCGCCCGACGCTTCCCAGCAGCCCTCAGCAGCCCTCAGCAGCCTCGCAGCAGTTTCGACCAGCTCTCAGCTCCGCTAAGTCAGCTTGGTGGGAGGCGTCGGATGGGAAATCCCGCTTCGCAGCACAGGATCTTTCTACTAGTAATAAGGACGCTACTAGGGGCTCCTGGCATCGCTACTAGGAACAAGGACGCTACTAGGGCTCCTGGCATCCCTACTAGGAACAAGAATGCTACTAGGGGCTCATGGCATCGCTACCAGGAGCAAGGACGCCACTAGAGGCTCCTGGCATCGCTAATAGGAAGAAGGACGCTAGTAGGGGTTTTGGAATCGCTACTAGGAGGAAGGGCTCCTGGCATTAGGGGCTCCTGGCATCGCTACTAGGAGGAAGGGCTCCTGCCATCGCTAGGAGCAAGGGGCTCCTGGCATCGCTACTAGGAACAAGGACGCCAGTAGGGGCTCATCGCTACTGGGAACAAGGACGCTACTGGCATCGCTACTGGGAGGAAGGGCTCCTGGCATCGCGACTAGGAGCAAGGGGCTCCTGGCATCGCTACTAGGAACAAGAATGCTACTAGGGGCTCCTGCCATACTAGGGGCTCCTGGCATCGCTACTAGGAACAAGGACGCTACTGGCATCGCTACTAGGAACAAGAATGCTACTAGAGGCTCCTGGCATCGCTACTAGGAGGAAGGGCTCCTGGCATCGCTACTAGGAACAAGGATGCTACTAGAGGCTCCTGGCATCGCTACTAGGAACAAGAATGCTACTAGGGGCTCCGGGGCTCCTGCCATACTAGGAACAAGGACGCTACTAGGGGCTCCTGGCATCGCTACTAGGAGCAAGGACGCCACTAGAGGCTCCTGGCATCGCTAATAGGAAGAAGGACGCTAGTAGGGGTTTTGGAATCGCTACTAGGAGGAAGGGCTCCTGGCATCGCTACTAGGAGGAAGGGACTGCTGGCATCGCTACTAGGAACAACAACGCTACTAGGGGCTCCTGGCATCGCTACTAGGATGGAAGGGCTCCTGGCATCGCTGCTAGGAGCAAGGGGCTCCTGCCATCGCTACTAGGAACAAGAATGCTACTAGGGGCTCCTGGCATACTAGGAACAAGGACGCTACTAGGGGCTCCTGGCATCGCTACTAGGAGCAAGGACGCCACTAGGGGCTCCTGGCATATTAGGAACAAGGACGCTACTAGGCGCTCCTGGCATCGCTACTAGGAGCAAGGACGCTACTAGGGGCTCCTGGCATCCCTACTAGGAACAAGGACGCTATTAGGGGCTCCTGGCATCGCTACTAGGAACAATGACGCTAGTAGGAACAAGACGCTACTAGAAGCTCCTGGCATCGCTACTAGGAGCAAGGGCTCCTGGCATCGCTACTAGGAGCAAGGGGCTTGCATCGCTACTAGGAACAATGGCTAGGAACAAGGACGCCAGTAGCTAGTGGCATCGCTACTATAGGAGCAAGGACGCTACTAGGGGCTCCTGGCATCGTCCACGAGCGTGCTTGCTAGTAGGGGCTCCTGGCCTGAAGGACGCCACTAGGGGCTCCTGGCCTTACTCTACTAGAAACAAGGACACTACTAGGGGCTCCTGGCATCGCTACTAGGAGCAAGGACGCTACTAGGACGCTACTAGAGGCTCCTGGCATCGTCCACTAGCGTCCTTGCTAGTAGGGGCTCCTGGCCTGGCATCGGGGCTCCTGGCATCGCTACTAGCAACAAAGAGGCTACTGGGGGCTTCTGGCATCGCTGCTAGGACTAGGAGCAAGGATGCTACTAGGGCTCCTGGCATCGCTACTAGGAGCAAGGACGCTATACTAGGGGCCCCTGCATCGCTAGGAGCAAGGAGGCTAGTAGGGGCTTCCAGCATCGCAACTATAGGAGCAAGGGCGCTACTACGGGCTCCTGGCCTTACTACTAGAAACAAGGACACTACTAGGGGCTCCTGGCATCGCTACTAAAACCAAACACGCTACTAGGGGCCAGGAGCATCGCTACTAGGAGCAACGACGCTACTAGGGGCTCCTGGCATCGCTACAAGGACGCTACTAGGGGCTCCTGGCATCGCTACTAGGAGCAAGGACGCCACTAGGCGCTCCTGGCGTCGGTAGTATGAGGGATCCTCGCATCGCCACGCTACTAGGGGCAGGAGCAAGGACGCTACTAGGGGCTCCTGATCGCTACTAGGAGCAAGGACGCTACCACAGGGGCTCCTGGCATCGCTACTAGGAGCAAGGGGTTCCTGGCATCGCTACTAGGAGCAAGGACGCTACCAGGGGCTCCTGGTACTAGGGGCTCCTGGCATCGCTACTAGGAGCAAGGCTCCTGGCATCGCTACTAGGAGCAAGAACGCTACTAGGGGCTCCTGGCATCACTACTAGGAGCAAGGACGCTACTAGAACCTCCTGGCATCGCTACTAGGAACAAGGGCGCTACTAGGGGCTCCTGGCATCGCTACTAGAAGCAAGGACACTACTAGGGGCTCCTGGCATCGCTACTAGGAGCAAGGACTCCTGGCATCGCTACTAAGAGCACTAGCGCTCCTGGCATCGGAGCAAGGTCGCTACTAGAAGCTCCTCGCATCGCTACTAGGAGCACGGACGGGCTCCTGACATCGCTACTAGGAGCAAGGACGCTACTAGACTAGGGGCTCCTGGCCTTACTACTAGGAACAAGGACGCTACTAGGAACAAGGTGTTCCTTTCAGGAACCGTTCCTTTCATTGTAATAACATCTTTGTGGATGCATAACATCTTTCTGGGCGTAATTATCTTTCAGAGTCATTAGACAAGAAGTTATATACACATGAAAATTCACGTGCCCCGCCGTGTGTAATGTACCCATGAATGGCCTCTTCACCCGTGGTCGCGGGAGCTTCTGCTGTTTCGCACCTCAGCTGCATTGGGAGCCCTTGTAGCGTCCTTGTTCCTAGTAGTAAGATGTAGTAAGGCCATGAGCCCCTAGTAGCTTTTTGCTCCTAGTAGCGATGCCAGGAGCCCCTAGTAGCGTCCTTGCTTTGGAGGAAAAAAAATACTAATCTGTGAATGGTCTTCAAGCATTGTGTCAGAATCCAATGGCTCTTGCATTGCTCCATCAGGAGCAAAGCAGAATCATGTAAATTCATGTCAGGGTGTTTCCACTAAGCTGGCAGGGAACGCAGGGACCAAGGAAGAGCATTCAAATCACATGAGTGTTCGTTTGGTAGCTGGGCACTTGAGCTGGCTTTCCGACCAAACTTGCTGGCCTGCAGGAAGGTGATCAATGAGGGGGAGTGATCCCTGGTGCATCAGAACTACATGATCTGGGAATATCTGGGACATCAATGTCTTTGGCTGGTTTGCACTGTTCGGGGCATTGACATCCACGGCATAAGAACTATGCAGGCAACAAGCGAACGGTGCGAGTGTGGCCGCAGAAAAGTACAGCGCATGAGTTCTCCCATTCAGCCACTCCTTCTCGACAAATTCAAGATTCACCAGCTCCTCATTGGCTGGATCTTTTCGCCAAGCCTGCCCGAAGCAGAATGGATAGAACCTTTGAAGAGAGAGAGAGAGAGAGATTGTCAAACCAGCTTCAGCGCAAGTTTCATGATAAGAACCTGGAAACATTTCTCTCCGCTTCAGTCGCCTCTAGCTCCCGGCGAAAGCGCTCTTGGTCCTGGAGTGGTCACGGTCCAAAGGCCCAGACAAGCAGATGTGCCGTGTCCACTTTTTCCTAAAACTCGCTCCCCTAATAGCAAAGGCCTCCAACCGTGTCCACATCTTGGGTAATTTTAGGAAGGCTACACCCTCTGAAAGCTGGTCAATATTGGATGCCCATCCCGCCGTGGGTCTCATCCTCCGCTGAGCGTGCTTTACTCGGGCTAAGTCAAGTAAGGGAATAAAAACCTCGCTGATCCTCGGATCTGGCTGGTAGTATATACATACCAGTAAATATGTAATATGGTATAAAGTCATCCCAAATCCCTCCGGATGGTGGAGATGACACACCCGGATGATCCCACGATCCACCACCGGTGCGTTGCCAACCTCAGCAGCACGTACTGCGTAGCCCCGCTTCTCCTGGTGAGAACGATCCGATTTCGCCAGCGCCACTCCTCTTCGAATTCGCATGTTTCAGTGATGGTAGCCCGCGAAGTCCTTACAAACCCATTTTGCCTCCAAGATTGGTCCTGTACGCAACGATGGTGAGCCCAAGAAGCTGCATGGAAGCGATCACAAAACCTCCCCTCGAAGCTGTACAGTTGAGGGGCCGTGCATGCTGGCTTGCCCCCTCGGTTTTTCAAGGGCACAAGCTAAGAGCAGCAGCTCAAGGTTGATGCAACGAGAGCAACCAAAGAGGTTAAGTCAAAGATTCATCTCGACAAAGCCAAGTGCAGGCCACTCATCAGGAGCACATGCGGCCAACACTCTTTCCCCAATGTCTCAGAAGACTTAGGACACCGCTGGCGCAGTTGACCAGGCTTGATGGCTTCTTTGCCGTGTCCCAGGGCTTTTGCTCAGTGGGATCGGTCGACAAGACCGACTGCATACTGGGGAGCACAATGCTTGACAGGAAGGTGTTCCGCAAAGAAGCCTTAAGACCAGCTGCAGTGTGCACTTGTCCCATGATTGAGCTTCGGGCTACGACACTCTCACAGTGGGCCTTGCGGCTGCTCTCGTAGAGCTGCAAGCCATCAGACAGGGAGATCTTTGGATTTAACAGGATTTGTCCCAAGCAATAGGCATCATGCATAGCCATGTTGGCACCCTGCCCCATGAAGGGTGCGGTCGCATGGGCGGCATCCCCCAACAGCACTGTTCGACCTTTTGGAGAGATCCAAGTCTCTCGCTCCGGTGACCTGTAGATGCCCCAGTCGAAGCAAACCTCGCTGTTCTCCACGGCCGTTTTGAGCACCGCCAAATCGCCAAGCTGTTGAGCGACCTGCTCGAAGCGCTCACGGACCATGGTGGAGTCCCAACGGTCGGTCACTTCCTCCTTACTCTGCAAAATCAGAGCGCAAATATCATGGCGACTGGAGTCCTGGCCGGCCGTAAGCTCAAGGATACCATATCCGACCCCATCCACTTCCATCCAGTGGATGTTGTTGATGGAGGGGTTTGGTCGGTAAGGCTTCGTGGACACACTGTAGAGCATCCTGAAGCCCGTAAAGATCGGGCTGTCTTTCCCAAAGACCCTCTGCCGAACAAAGCTATGAATTCCATCTGCTGCTACCACCAAGTGTGCGGAGGCTGTTGCTCCGTTCTCAAAGGTCAGCAAGACTTCCTCGTCTCCTTCAACGATATCGGTCACCTTGTGGCCAAGCTTGATGATCTGCGGGGGCAACGAGTCCACCAAAAGCTTCTGCAGATCTGTGCGCATGGCCATGCATCCTGTGAAGTCCAAGGAGCCCAACCTCTTGCCATTGGCACCGAAGTGCACCTGAGTTGGGATGGAGCTGTAGCACTAAGTTAGAGCTACACCAGGTCAAACCACAAACCTTATTATGGCTTGAACAAAAGCTATATCACTCTGCCCCATGGTGCCTGCAGGTCCTGACCATGGTTGGCCACAGCCTCCAGCTTTTCTCCGAGCCCAAAGCTCTTCAGAATGCGCTCGCCGGCTGCCAGCCCTAGCGCACCACCACGGACCTTCCATTGGTCCCAGGCTTCATAGAGGCACACCTGAGGGGACGTTGTCATTCATCGAATCAACATGAGGGAACACGCTAAACTCACCTAACCTCTTGCAATCGGATGCATCTCATCCATCTATATTGTGATCCAAGGAGATATCCAAGGAACTTTAGCTGATTTAAGGTGAGGAGCGCTCTAGTCCTGGACACCCATTGGACGCAGCTCCGGCCTCCACACCTGAGCCTTCCACCAAGGTCTTGGCCAAAGTCAGTCCACCCAATCCAGCGCCGATGATGGCCACTTTCACAGGTGAGGCTTCCATGACTCCAAGCGAGAGGATGTCTTGAGACGTTGAAACTTGGGGGCCAAAATTGCTCAGAACAAACATCACCTCATCTTTATCAAAAGAATTCTAAATATCTTTGCTCTTCATCACCTCTTTTACAATCGAACCTGAATCCTATGGTTACTATGGCATTGTATCAATGAGTTCCATGCTTACAATTACCATGCAAGTAAACATGTATCAGCTGCAATATCTGCAATCAACTGCCTTACTGTCAAACACCTGTTGATTTCGCCAGCGCCACTCCTCGTCGCTCAGCGCGGACCAAGCCTTCTGCAAGGCGACTAGTCGGCCAGCCTTGGGCTGGCGGTGCGGACATTAAAGCAAACATCTCTTTCTCTTCAGCAGCAATCGGTCCTTTCTTGCAATCAATTTTCACAATGCGTTTCCGCCCTTTCTTCAACCACCTGGGATGTAACTGTGGTCCACTTTAGTTGCAATCCCTGAAACCATGGTGAAGTGACCACTGAGTCTCTGACGCTGCGCCGCTGTTTCGCCTGCGGTCTTTGTTCACGGTTGAACATGTCCTGAAAACTGTATGTTTGAAACTGCAAAGGCCACTTGCCTGACACACCTTGTTTCTTCACCGTCGGTTTGAAATTCTATGAGTCAATCCCTGGTAATTACGCAAGATAGCAACTATATATCCCATTTTATTCTTGAAATGTTCTGCAAAGTTCTGACCCAAATGATCCACATCCATTGCAGCTCGGTCTGCCAACGATGCCCTTCACTTGCGGCCTTCTGCGCATCTTCAGCAACGCCTAGCGCTGGGAAAAGTTCACAGCCCCTCCCCTCTCCTTGGTGAAGGACATGTTGCTACAGCTTAGACGCTTAGACCTACTTTACCTCATTTAGATCCCAGTCCCAAACCTTGCGTTGCAAATCCCCTCGAGCGGCGGGACATTGCCTTCTTCACTGGGCACGGGCTCTGGTGCCTCCTCTTCTGGCAAAGCCTGAAAACATATGGCACAGCATGAACCACTAGAAGTGCAATTCGAACTGTCAAAACTAGCCCATACTGTATCTGCTCTGGTGGTTGGCCCTAATGGCTCCTGTAGAGCAGAAAGGTTCCTATACCAATTCTACCAAAATGGGGAGACAGATTTTATGGGAAAGTGTGGAAAAGCAATACAGAAAAAAAGCACAGAGAGATGTGAAGTAAGGTTCTAACAATTTCTACCTCCAAGCAGCTTCAAACGACTGAAGGCGACTTCAAGCACCCGACGGACATTTTCGGCTGCTCGGAGCAGAAAAGGCTGTACGCAGAGTTCACCGGCCTAGGAAGCTGAGATAGATCAAAAGCATCCCTTGATAAAGGAGAAAAGTAAAGGTAGGCAGCAAGTTGTAGTGGGGGCTGATTAGTCAAGTCTAGTCTAGGACCAAAAACTGCAAAAGGAAAACTACAGTAGGAACAAAGGGCATCGCTACTAGGTTTTCCTGGCCAGTTTCGCAGATGTTGAGGCTCCAGCCGCTTTGGGAAGTTCTTCGGCGCCCTAAAGGCGGTGGAGACGGTCAACAGGGTAGCCAAAGGGATCCAAAGGGTACAGTATGGTGGCGTCTCAACATATTCTGGGGAGACACTGCACTAATGATTTGATTGTCTGACTGCTTTGTCCTTTGATCCATGGTGCGCTGGCGGGCTCACCCTTTAGCGACACACACCGAAGTGAAACTCTGGAGCAAAGAAAAGGAAGACATGTCCGCTGAGCTTCCATTCTTCCCTCCGCCTCCACGATCCTTTCCAAATCCAAAAGGTGAATCTAGAGCATCTCGAGCATCTAGACTTCTTTCAACGCCAACTCACACTCATCGCACCTCTTCTTTGATACGAGCTTTTTTGGAGGCTCCTCCGATCCTCAAAGGTTCATGATCCAAGGTACTGACGGCTTCAAGCCCAAGAGAAGCAACAACCGTGGCTTTGTCTCAGACTCTCAAATGTCTATTTTTGCATCGTAAGTGAGTTACCTTCGATCGTGCGATGCATTCCTTGAGCAGCGTCAACCTCAGGTCACCAATGTTAACCTGGGTAGCTGTAGTCCCACAAAATGAAACAACATCAACATGAATCCATCGCCGAATCTCAGGCTCTCATTCATCTTCACATGCTTGACACCACGACAGCTCAGGGTCCAAGCGGTTCAGCTTCCGCTCCAACGTGCTGCGGCGCTTCTCTAAGAGTGCCTGGAGCTTGAGAAAATGAGGTGCCAAGTTACCTGAACCTGGCTTCATCAAAAGTTTCAAACGATACCTGAACATCGAGGCACATATCCCTTTTGTTGGATTTTGAAGTCCGGATAAAACCTTGAAAAAATTGTCAAAAAATGTCAAAAGGAAAGGGCAAGCTCTTTTGGCCGTCAAGTTTCAGCCGTGGGAGCTCCTTTCACAGCCCTTTCATGGCCTGCAAGGCAGGCTCAGGCTTGCCCAGCTGGGCTCGCTCTTCTCGCCATTCCTCGTACCTTGTTTCGGACCGGCGTTGAAAGTCGGAAGGGGAAGCAAACCGGGTAACAGTTGGAAGAGTCGATCGGACAAAAATGACAGTCAAATCAGCACACAAAAATGACAAAGAAAATGCACAACTCCAATTGCGATCCAAAGGAACCGAGCAAGGTAGGGCATTGCAGGGATGATCATCGGCAATCCAAGGCACAGGAAACAAACAGCACAATGGCATAGGAAGAACCAGCATCACCAGCAAGGCCATCACTAGTAGGTTGGAGGCCATAGCTCTTGGGGTGGAGGCCATCGCTATTAGGTTGGAGGCCATCACTACTAGGGCACCTTGCTGTCTTGAAGGCCCAGACTCCTCCAGGGTCCTCCAGGGTCCTCCAGAGTCCTCTAGAGTCATCTCTGAGCCTATGGCTCACGCTCGAATCGGCGCCGATCCTCTTCGGCCAGTTGGATGAAACGGCCCCGCTCCTGCATTTCAGAACCGCCCAGGCCGGACTTGGCAGTCCTTGACTCAGAAGGTCCACCAACATCTGTCCAGAAGGTCCACTTGGTGTTTTGGCTCAAACCAAGGGCTCGCAGGCCTCGTCTGACATAGCCTTCCAGCGTGTCACCAGTTCGGGCAGCGAGGGCTCCTGGACATTCGGGTGTTGAAAGTGTTTAAACATCCAAACAACCAAATCGTCCAAATGAAATCTTTGATGTACCTGCCATCTGCCGCCAAAGAAAAACATGTGTGTTTGTTTCTCAGACCACACCCTTCCGGATGTGCACAAGTATCAAGCAACAGTCCGGTCATTCGACGGTGCAAGCCATCTCCTCCTCCTCGTCGTTCTCCTTGACCTCCTCTCGGAACTTTTCAAAGGCAAACTGCCTGGGCTGGATTGGAGAGAGCGTGCCAAAGCAGCGATTGGACTCTGGATGTTTTGCGAGGAACTGTGGCTTCGTGTTTGAAACGCTTCAACAATTGCTGTTGGGGCATGGATGTCTTCAAGAAGCTGGAGCAAACCTGCATCTGTCCTTCAACCTTGGGCCTCCGGCGGCAACTTTGGCTTGCGCAGTTTGCCTCTAGGAGCTGCCTGCAGGAAACAAAGACCGGCAGCCGCCCTAGAGTTTGAATGGCTGGGGCTGCTCAACTGCATGCTTGTCATGGCTCAGGAGGTTTGGTTTTCAATGGCTTTCAGCATACTAGTGTGGACATCTAGGGCCACCAAGTCTTCCATCCTAAAATACAGCGTTGGAGTGGACATATTTGCTTGTACCATCTAGTTTAGACAGCTGTCAGGGCTAAAACATGCCTGTATAGTAAACCTGCCACATCTGCCACATCTGCCCACCTTGGCCTTGGCTCGCTTTCGCTTCACCTCGCGACGCAGAAGCTTCAGCGAAGCTTCAAACAAAACGGCCGGTGAATCTTGGTGATTTACATGCTGCACCTCAGGCCGAGTTCAGAGATTCAAGACGAGACTGTTTGCACTCCTTGAAGTGCCGCCATCCACCAAAATCACCCTGGTCTTGAACACAGGCGGAGCAAGAACGTGGACGGTGGTCGTTTGCAAAGACCAATATTCCTTTACGAGTATGGATGAGAAGTGGTTGCAACAAAAGATATTTCTTTTATCTTCTTTTCTAGCATGTCGCAAATCTCTGTGAAACCAAGACTCTAGTCAAGCAATCAATAGGAGCAAGGACGCTACTAGAGGCTCCTGGCCTTACTACTAGGAACAAGAAGCTAAGAAGCTATATACTAGGAACAAAGTCGCTACTAGGAGCAAGGACGCTACTAGGGGCTCCTGGCCTTACTACTAGGAACAAGAAGCTACTAGTAACAAAGCGCATCGCTACTAGGAGCAAGGACGCTACTAGGACCGACTACTGTGTCCAAGCAACCTTCCTGGCCCAGCCCGCACCCCTAGCTCCGCGCAAGGCCTTCACCTTCTCTTCCTTGCACTCGACCTCTGTCAGGTCCGGGGTCCAACGAGTCCACCCTTCCGTTGGGGTGTCTGAGGAAATGCCTTTGACATCTCTGATCTTACTATTAGCTTCTTATTACTAGTAGTATGGCCAAGAGCTACTAGCAGTTTCCTGCTCCTAGTGGCGATGCCCTTTGTTACTAGTAGCTTCTTGTTACATGTCTGAGGAAATGCCTTTGACTGGTGAATATGGACACTTAGAAACCCGAACTCTCCCACCTCTCGACGGGATACATCCATGCTAACATGGCCAATGGATATATGCCACATGAAATAAAAATCATGATAATCTGAGAAGTGCTGGAAATAACAAGATCGGCATCGAAGTCCATCGAAATAACATGATCGCGTTGATCTTCAGGCGCTTTTCATGACTTCACGGAGGTTTTTTTCTGTGGATGGACGAACACGGGTCCATCATCCAATTCACAAACCCCAAAATCGCCGCATCCCACAGTCCTGGTCTGCCAGGACCACTTGCATGCTCACCTGGACACAGGTTAACCTTCAAAAAAAGGAACGACATTGGCTTGCAATATTCTAGTCTACAACAGTTAATTAAACAGGAGTTCACGAGTTAATCTTGTATGGTTTCCATTGTCCTCCACTAGGAGATGCAAACACAAGGAGCACCGCTCACCGACCAAACACTGTCTCCATTGCCAACTTGTTTTGCTGATTCTGTGCTACACAACCTATAATCACTTCTGCCTCGCAAACATCATCACTAACCAACTCTTAACCTACCATGACAAAATATCGAAGCCTCTTCAATCTCATCGTCTTCATCATCTTCTTCTTCTTCTTTCACCTCGCCAGCTGGTGCTGCAGCTGGTCCGTCCTGCAGAAGGTCCGACTTCACAGGACCGCAGCAATTCACCGGTCTTGCATGTGGCATGTGCCATCATGTGTATGCATGTGCAAGAGTTGCATGCCAAGCTGAGTCCAGGAAACAATCAATAGCTAAAGGTATCGAACGTACAAACCATTTTGGAGACATTCATCCAGCAGCTCAGCAGCTCAGCATTTGTCCACGCGACTCTAACTACAGCGGTCGGATGTCGATTCGGTCGGATGCTTGGGATGGTCTTTGAGGTGAAGGGAAAACAGATGACGTTGAAGAAGAACAAGAAGAGGACACATGCCCAAAAAATACAGATGTGAGTCGCATCAGAGCTGGATTCGGCTGAAGGACTCAATCCCTGTCAATGCGCAAAGGAACGCCTCAACGATGCGGATTGGCCTAATTACATGCATAAATATGCGGAAGCCTGAGCTCGTTTTCACACTCAGATGAGTCGGATGAGTGTCATCATCTTCATCTCCAAAATCTGAGAGGGAGTATAGGTGGGCTTTTTCAAAATCTACATCGATGAACCTGTAGTAACAAGAATCTATTAGTAACAAGTGCATCGCTTCTAGCAACAAGTGCCTTACTAGTAGTAACAAGAAGCTAGTAGTAACATATATTTTGTATATATACTTCAAAATAAACCGAATGTTTGGCACGCAACGACCTGTTGCCAGCAACGATGTGGCTTCGGTGAAGCATCGAAGTGCATGATGAGTGGAGGGGGTGTTTGAACGGGGGGGTAGGCAGTGAAAAAGGGAGGGGGCCTCTCCTACCACAAGCTCGAACCTGACGTGAACATTGCCCTGAGTGATCATTGCCCTGAGCCACTTAGACTGTCGGCGTAGCTCGAAGGATTGGGTTGATACTTGTGCTGAAAAATGCTTGAGCCACCCCGCAATTCAAGTTCAGGTGCTCTGAATGCATTGAAAATGTGATTTCTACTGTCCAAGCATTGCGTTGCTTCGTCTCTTTGAACCTTCTCCCGTTCGGCCTGTGACTTGCGCAAACGCTTCATGGCACCTCAACCAGGAGGACGAGCAAGAAACACGAGAAGGCACAATGGCATAGCATGCCATAGAAGGCTCAAGTCCTCAAGTTTGGAGGAACTAGGCAACTCATCCACCTTGAGCACCTTTAACTCATCCCAACAGTGAGTCCCTCAGTCTGCTGTTCCGATCACGAAAAAACATGGACGGGGCTGCGCTGATCAACTACCACAGGCACGAATCAAAAGAAGAGTTCTTTGCTGTTGGCTTCAGCTGGTCACAAATACCACATGGTGATAATCATCAGGGGTAATTAGTTTGTGGGCCACATGGAAGGTCTCTTCCGCTCAACAACTTTCTGGCTCACCGGGGGGTGCCTCCGCGCCGCAGCACTGCGCTCAAACATGGAAGCTGTGAGACTAGCTTCCAGCGATGGGGATGGACTTTCTAGTCAGTGCGACAAAGAAATGTACAGCTTGAGAGGGTGTACTAAAGTGTACTAGTCAGTGCGGAACTCGATCACCCCGAGTTCTGCTTGGTGGGTCAATTATTAGGTGAAGCAAGCATGCGACGCAAAAGCCGAGAACGTCCATGCCACTTTTGGTATGAAGCTTGGTATGAAATGTTTGCAAATCTTCTGGTAGATTGAGTCAATGCTTGTAAATCTTTTGACCTGCAATGGCAATGGTGAAGTCTGTTGATGGTGCTCTGCAAAATGATCCGCTATTGTATATCGATATATATTATAATATTATGTATACATACACATATTATTAGATGTATATAACTAATATAGCAAGCTGAGCACAAACAAAAGGATCATATCACAATAAAGTCCGTCATGTTCGTCAAACCCTCAACGAGCAGAATCTGTCCATCTTTGTTCTTGCTGTTCTTAGAAGACAGTGAGAAAGCCGCTCTGCATGAGGAGCAGCACGCATGATCACATGATCTTTTCTAGTGCAAAATGCGGATGCAACGTCCTTCTGGGACAAAGCCTCTTACAATGTCCTGAACTTGCTAAGATGATCCAGAGCTAGGTCGGAAATGCATCGCCTGGGACCTTCTCGGGACTATTCGGATCATTTGGACCCTTCACAGGTCAAGGAGACAACCGCCCTGTGACAGGGTCAAAATGCATACAACTCAGTTGCCAAAAATATCTACCATTTCCAACCCCAAGTGGACCATCTTGAACCGTCACTCTTCCTCGGTCGAACGCTTTGTACAACTGGAGCTGCCGCGGAGCAGCTGGTGCGGTGCGTCTTTTCGAATCCAAAAAGAACAGTTGTTGTTTCTTCGGTTTTTACGGCCGTTCACCGATGTTAACAGTTGATGCGCCAATTCCCACTCCCAGAGTGAATAGTGAATCAACCTTCCACACATTCTTGGTGACTAGGTCCACTGCCTCCCTGACTTCCCCAGTGCCTCGTGACAGCACCTTTCAGCGAATATGATGGATGTGCCAAGCTCGGCGCTCCATCTTCGGTCACCAAGCAACTCACATCCTCTTCTTGTCGCCGAAATCCTCTGACACAAACGGAGGAGCCAGGTTCTCTTGCATTGATGGGATGGTATATGGCATGTTGATGCATGTTGTGATCAAGCTGGTTTGCTTGCAAGTCTCGCATTGCCACATCTTTGCCAACCGCCCCTGTTTGACTTATGCACTGTACTGTGGACCAAGCGGACTTTCGTCACATTTGATGGCAGCATAGCGATCCAGCAAAACCCCAAGTGTGGTGTCAGTTCGGTGGGAAGACCTTCTCTTTCGCAGGATCTGATTGGCATTCCCGGTTCACCACCGCACCGAAAGTCCAGTAGAGTCGCCCCCTAGAAAGTCGGTTGCTGCAGGACACGGACACCCCGAGTGTCGACTGATGCCTCCAACGAGATGCTTCTCTCGCTGAGGTGCCCGGCCATGGACGAGAGGTTGGATTGCAAGTCGCGTGCTTGGCCCGTTCGCCTGGACGGGTCGGAGGTGTGACAGGCACGAGAAGAACCAACACAACCCGGAAGGCTAGTGGTGATGGCGGCCTGCAGGGCTCTGGCGGCTCTGGGTTCTCTCAAGAGTGTACTTTGGGTCTGTGCTCTTAGATTCCTATCAACTTGACTCAGATGCCACATCCTGTGTATCTTCAGACATGATCATCAGTTGGAGAATTTCGGAAGATTGAAAAGCCAAGAGAAGAGAGGTTGCCCTCCAGCTTGCTAGATTGCCACCACAACATAGGTCCTTAGTCCCCTTGCAAATCTGCAGGTGACTATTTTCAAGTGCCTGCAGAAAGTTTGTTCTGTAAGGGCCAGGCTCAGACTCCTTGATTGCGTCACATGTGCGGGGGCATGGACCATTCAAAAAGGCTTTCCACTAACAAGCAACCTGCGCCACAGCGCGCTGCACACAGCCTGTAGTAGGTGCCGATCTTGATGATCATGCCAAACCAATACATGTGCAACAGGAAGATGGTGAACTTGGCGGAAACGCCACGCTCAAACAGCGGCAAAAAAAAAACTCCATAGCCAGGCTGAAAGTTTTGGGATGATCAAGCTGTGCATCCAGAACCAGCAGGTTGAACAGATTCTCGAAAATGCCAGATGAGCAATTCTCAAACAAAAAAAACTTACTGACTTGGGTGGCTTTAAAAACTACGGTACCTCCACCAAAGAAACATCAAAAGAATGAGTCAAATGTGTGGGGAAATCTAGTAGCGCCAGTAGCGCCACACATGTGCACAAAAACCCTTTTGAGGAACTGCGGGAACTTTGAGGTGCCTTTTACCGTGTCCCTACCTTCTTGGCCACCCGGCCAAACCAAAGTTCATGAAGCCCCAGGAGATGATTTTCTCCGGCCGGGCCTCGACTGCGTGGAGTGCTTCGGCGGAACAGCGGGGAACGCGCGCGGAACTGCGGGGAAATGCAGTAGTTGCTCGGTTGGACATGAGATGTTGCATATGACACGCAGTTAGATGTCTAGGAGAATGCTTCCAGGATTCAACGGCTGATCGGGCATCTCAGAGAAGCCTCGAAGCTAGTAGCCCCCCCAAGGGCTCAAGCCTCTTTTGCACCCTCATTTTCCCTTCCGAGCTGAGCTACCGGCCTCAGGTATGCTCTCCACCCAAACACTCCACATGATGGAGATGGGGAAAACCAAAATTCTAAACCTGGCATTTTTGTGTGGCGGAATCTCATCTCTGAGAAACTTGCCACAGCTAGAGTAAAGCCTCTTTTCCGACAGTGCTGCAGCTTGTACTTGCAAAGGGGTTGAGGGATTGCAGGTATGAAAGGCTTCATCTCCAGGGTTCTCCTCTAATTAGGCCCATTTTTTGTGCCCACTTTGTCAACTCAAGGCAAGACGCAACAAAAGATGCCACACAGCACCCTGATCCAAGAAAGGACATCCATCAAACCCTGTCTAAGGGCATCAGCACTTGTCCGCTTCATGTCTCATCTGTGCGTCATTGAATCATACTCGAGATCGTAGTAGCGATGCCAGGAGCCCCTAGAAGCTTCTTGCTCCTACAAGTACCAAAGCATGCCGAAGTCTCCACACATAAGAAACCACCAGGGCAAAATAGGAGGCGACGATGGCCCGGGCGTTTGCCGTATCCACCAACGCCTGCATTCAGCAAAAGCCAGCGCATCATGATCTATTGCCTTTGTCTGTTCTGGATACTGTACATCCTTCTGATGTATTTTCGGGGGACTCCATGTTATGAGACACCAATGTACTTGGGGCCTTGACTTCTTTTTTTGAGAACTCTGGTCTTGGAGCAATTGAATTCCCGGTGAGCCAACCAGTAGGGGGAACTGACACTGTTCCTGGTCCTGCTCATCCATCTTCGCAGATCACAGCCCAAACCGCTTTTCTCTTGCAAACAAAAGTCTCAAAAGACCCCACGCTTAGGGATTCTTGTTCCTAGTAATGCCAGGAGCTACTAGTAGCTTCTTGTTCCTAGTAGCGATGCCCTTTGTTACTAGTAGCTTCTTGTTCCTAGTAGTAATGCCAGGAGCTACTAATAGTGTCCTTGCTCCTAGTAGCCCTCAAACCACAGCAAAATATCGAAGGCCTTGGACAAATTGATGAAAATGTCCGTGATCCCATGCAAGAGCAGCACTAAGCTTCCTATGCCTTGGGCGACTCAGTAAGCCAAAGCCGCAAGGCAAGCAAGGCGGGTGCGTTTTGCTCTGAAGCTTCAATGTTCAACAGATTGTGGGGTATTAGAGGCTAGCCCAAGTGAAAATGAGTAAGAATGACACTTTGCAATATCAGTGCAAGACCATGATAAAGGACGGAAATATCCACAAATTCCACAAGCAAAAAGAGTTATTTAATTTTGAAAAGGTCTACGCCGCACCTAACAAATCAAAAGAATCACAAACCTACAATAGCCAGTGCAGTGAATGACAGTTTTATAATTTTTTGAGCTGAAAGTCATCCCTCGATCAAAGGTCACAGGAGTGCTGTTGCTGGCGAGACTGCGAGATAAGTCTCGGGCGAAGGTAGTTGAAGCTAAAGGAAAAGACAACTAGACAGCACCTGAGACGCTACATGAAGAAAAGTGATGGTCATGGACAAGAATCCTCAAAATTGCCTGGGCATGCCATTGAATCCTTGAGGACTTGGGATAAAACTAAACTAATGCTGCAAAGCATGACTGGACTCTGAGTGAAGTGCCTGATTGTAATTGGATTGTACGGCTGCTCAAAGTTTTACTGTTGTAGGTCCAAGAAAAATCTAAACCTGTATATTCTTGCTACTAGTAGTTTCTTGCTACTAGTAGCGATGCACCTTGTTACTAATTCCAAGCCCATTCACAACCAGTCTCGTCTCGCGCTGCTTCGAGGCCCACACGTCACTAGGTGATGCAACATCATCTCCCAGAAATCCGGATGCCTCTCCTATCCAGGCTCGATTGGGAGTGCGCTGGACGGCGTCCTCTGACATAGCTCTGCAAAGGAAGGACTTCTAAGGCAAAGGAGGCTGCTGGAAGCCACCAATGAACACATTCTGTGTGCAATCACATCCGCAAAGTACTTCATGCAGCAGGGGCAGCCCGACAAAATATGCCGACTCAAAACGAAATAGACCTCCCGCTGCCCTTGCCTCTAGAAGAAGCATCAATACCTCAGACATAAACGGAGCTGGGTTTACAAAAAGGTCGAGGTGCTAAAAACATGTTATATATGTAAGGGCCCCTTTAAAGGGGTGCCCTCACCGTTTTGTTCATATCTGCTTTTAGACCCCACGCGTAGATGCTCCCAAACACAGGATGGTTCATCAATGGCATTTGCTATGACGATGGAATTGCCCAGCCCTTGAATGCTGCAAACGCCCACCTCGCTACAGTGGTAGCCCACGGCTGTGAGATAGAAGCGTCTCAAATCAGATGAGACCTCCTCAGTTCACAGAAGGCCATTGAAGGCCATTGAAGGCCATGAAAAGATCGAATCAAGACACATCAAGAAACTCTTCTGAGGTCTTCTGTCCGAGCTTTCTGCTATAGTCATCGAAAGTCATCGACAAACTCTTCAATGTCAATGCGACGTTCCATCTTGCCCTTGCATTTAGTGAATTCTACTCATTTGCTTGAAAAATCTGGACCATGTTGTTTCGTTAGAGGAGACTTCAACCTGTCCAGCAAGAAACACCACAAGACTCGGCCAAAGCTACAACACCATGATCCCTCCATCCCATCCTCCTGTCGGTCACCCTCTCCTGAAAGGGGTACCCCGTCCAGCAGAACTTGGTCGCACCACGCCCACCCAAAAGTCGAGGTAGCCAGGGCTCATCTGGCGACCCCGAACATGGCGAGGCTTTGTGAAACATGATCCTTTTTCAAAGAACGTCAGCACCCTGTTGGACGGATCAACTCCTTTGGAAAAACACTGGAATGGTCATACGGTCATGGACTGCTCCTTCTCAGCCACTAGTCACTACAGGCCCTCGAGCCGCCCGCCCTGCAGTGCTGTACGCGCAGCGAAGGTCCGCGTCGCCTTTCAGCAAGGCGAAACACCAGGTGGTCATGGCACAATAGTACGCGCACCTGGGCGAGGGAGTGCGTCCCTGGCACAGGCGCTACCCAGCTGGTGTTTGGCCAATGCGAGCCAAATGCCAACACCGAGAGAAGGCCTGGCATCATTGTTGCGTTGTTCCGAAGGTTCGGGGCAGAGTTAACATGTCAATAGATTTGAAGAGGAGGCCCCACGTTACATGCTGATAATTAGAGATGACACGCAAAGTTAGAGCAACAGTCAAAGGATGCTGTTGCATGCTTGCCGCTGCGGTTGACTCTCCTGAAACTACCGTCCCACCCTGCCACCCTAGGCTTTCGGCTTGAAGATTGAGTCGCAACAACGTGTCACCTGCCAAGCCATATCAACACTGGCAACTGCAAAGAAGTGACCTTGACATCTTATCTGATATCCATCTGCGAGACATGAAGTGGCTCCATGGCATTGGGTTTCTTGTTTTGCTGCAAGGACGGGCCCTACGATGTTGCGCGCGCACGCGCACGCATCTATGTCACAGCGATGTTCAAAGGCAGCATTCTGTCAGAAATCCCATCGTTGCAAAGGTTGGGATGGTCTCAAACAACAGAGGTGACCTCCAGTCTTGATCTTCATTTGAACTGATCATGAGTTAGGCCAAAGGACCAGCACGTCTCTCACTTGCTGGGCTAAGCGACTAAACACCATCATGGCCCTTCTATTCCCTAAGCCCTCAAGGCAATAGCAGGTGCTCCAGACGTCTTTCCACCTCAAAGGTATGCGAGATCAGGCCCTTTTGGGCCAATATGGGCCAATTGATGTGGTGTGAAACTGGGATAGTTCTTAAACTTTCACGAAGGATCTATGGATTTGCAGAGCCTCAACAGATTTTGAGCTGCCATTGCTTATCACCTCTCATCTTTGACATGCTTTATGTCTGTAAAGTGAAGAGTGAGAGAGAGTCTGCACCAAAGACCCATCAAGGACCTGCCTTCAAGGGCCCTTCACGGCATAAAAAAATACATAGACAGGGAAGTTGAGTCCATCAAGAGCCTGGCGCTCCCAACGGCACCCCTCCCCCAGCGGCTTCAGGGTGTCGGGATGCATGGGAGCCACCCTCGAAAATCGCTTGCCATCGATGTTGATCTCGCCCTCTCCCCATCCCGGTGGTCGACCATTGCGAAAACTTTCCCTGGCAGCGGCGCAGTCCCGATGGAACGATCGTGCAAACCGAGCGATTTCGCACCTGAGACGAATCGGACGCAAGTCGTCGAAAACAAATGCTGCTTGGCACAGGTAAGTCTCCGCTTGAGGCCGTACTTGTCAGCAGCAGCATCGCTGAGCTCTGAAGAGCCTGCGCCATAGTCATCCACCCAGAACTCAGCTGGCACCAAGCTGTGTGCGGCGACCATTGAAGGCATTGCTGAATTTCCCCCTTCAAATCAACAGGACAATCAGCCCTCGATTCTTGTTGTGAGACATAAACCATTCATACTGTCGTTGGATCTTACACACTTGACACACAAAGAATAGCTTCTTGAGCCGCATGTTGTCGGCCAAAAGAAAGGGCTTCACCGGATTTACCCTTCAAAGCGGTTCCCCATTTTTCACCACAGATCTGAGATCTAGAGCACTTCGTACTTCCACTCCAAGCGACAGGTAAATAGATATTGGAAACAGCACAGCAGATCACAGCTCCTTCTTCGCGCCGACGTTTCACTTCCCTCAGCCAGTGGCAGCACCAGCCTTAGAGCAGATCAGGGTGCAGTCTGCACGCAAGGGTCCTAAGACTGGGATCAAACCAGGACTAGACCACCAAACTGGCACCAGCAGGTCTAGTCGTCGTCACCGGAGGAGCAAATGAGTTCTGTCAGGTGGCATGGATGATGTGAACCAACTTCCGCTTGCACCTTCTTGCTGCGCGACTCCACCAGGCAGTTCCACATGGGATGTCTCCCCTCGGGCGGGGGCACCGGCACCAAATCACGGCCGCACTCTTCGCTGGGATGAACCCACTCACCATTGTCGGCAGAGAAGCCGAAAACGGGCATTTCGTCAAACCACACCGTGGCAGTGCCTAAGAGAAGCTAACAACGGTGGTGGTGAATAAATCATATCAATATCAGTCCTCAAACAAAACACAACTAAATTCACCATTCACCCTCTTAGCGCTTGTCAAACTTTGAGTCAAGAGATTGTACAAGGCCTAGAGTGCACTTTAAAGTTCTTCCATGAAAATGTTGGCCGAATTGTCTAAGAGAGTTGAAATGTCCTGACCAGCCACCGCCCGTCTTTTCCCTCAACTTTTCCATGACGTACTGGTAAGCAGGGCCTCCAGGTACAGAAGCACCTGTGGCAACGAAGGATTCTCTCATCTCAGCAGAGCAGTTGTAACTCTGATAGTATGTAAAAACCAATCCTGTCCCAGCAAGACGGTCAATCTCATTGCAGAGCTCTTCATCTCCTTTCAGCTTGGGGCAGAAGTTCAGTAACCAGGAGGCCTTAGTGGCCTTCACCGCTTGCAGCAGGAACTCCCTGTCGCTCCGAATGTTCTCAGAGGCGAACCGCAAGGCAATGCCATTCTCGAGCACTGCTGTCATCACGATCTCCCGGTCGTTCTGTAAGTCGGGTGTGGCAAACTGCAAGGCTTTGCCGTACTGCTTCACAGCGGCCAGCACAATGTCGCGGTCTCCCTTCAGCCTTTCCGACGCGAAAACCAATGCCATCCCTGACAGGCCCTTCTGTTTCAGAGCAGCAAGAACGATGTCCTTGTCGTTTCTGAACTTTGTCGGAGCATCCTTCAATGCCAAACCGTTCTCTTCCACTTCGTGTAGCCACTTCATCTTCTCATTGCTCGCCTCGGCGTGGATCGGAACCCGGGATCAAAGTGGCAAGCTGCAAACCACTGAACCACCCTCTAGATGGTGTTCTTCGCCTAGGTGTTGTTCCAGCCCAATCATGCTATGTTGCTCTAGAAGACGACAAAAAAGAAGGTAAGGGCTCCTTTAACGAGGCCCTTACCTTAAAGAGAGGGCCTGATTAAAACTGATTCAAGGACCCTGACCCTCTTTTGTTATTCTCGCTTCCTGCAAAGCAACAACCAAACACCACCTCGACAACCTTGCTGAGCTCTCAAAGTGAAGACTTCACGAAAGACATCCAAATGCTAGCTACAAGCCAATGGAAGACTGTCTACCACGGAAAACCAAGAAATGGAATATATTGCATGTGTGTAATCAATCGGTTGAGAGGTTGCCTTAGATGGTCATTGAGGTGCCTGTTGCATCCTTTCGTTGTAGAGTGTGCTTTACGAACAAACAAACTTCATCTGGCTGGCCCCTGGCGATGCATACTTCTCTGCCTTGGAGATAGCTCAGAAGAAAGGCAAACCGAGCATGATCCATCTCATATTGTAGTATGTGTTCCAAAGGTGTGAAAAAATGCCTGTGACGACTATTTTGACGGGTGTGGATCAACAGGCTGATCAAGCAAACCCAGTTGAGGCCCCAGCACTGGCGCCACAACCCATTGTAGCAGCCAAAGTTCGAGCCCAAAAAATTGCGCTGTCGTGCAACGGCAAACTTGTCCAGCAGAGGAATGAATTGGCTTCTGTCTGCTGCGATTGGGTCGTACTGGACAAGAGTCTTCCACAGGTTCCATATCTACATGTTTCCCACAAATCTTCAGTTTACTTCAGACATGCCGCTATTGTCAGAAAGACCCTGCAAAGCTTGCTTTTGAAGAACCATCGCAATGCTCTGACTTGCTATATAGCCTATTTTAGCCTTTAGCGGTGCCGCATTCAGGCCCTTACAGTGGTTGAAAAGGCTTACAGTAGGGTTTGCAATTGGTCCTGGAATTAATTTTGGAACTGTTGTCGTTCTATGTTTGGATGTTTTCTTGTTTTTGTTGGTGCTGGCATAGGTGGAAATGCACGCTTTGGGAAGCAGGGAGCGCTGAACAAGGCAAAACGGGTACTGAGCAAAACGCTGCTGACGCAGGATGACAAGACCTACGCACAAACTACCTGCCGATCCTTCTTGGGGGGGAGGCCACATAAACAAAGCCAGGGGCCCGGACTAGCATTTGGGATCATAACATAAGCAATTCATTAAATTTCTCACCTGGCTGTAAACCATAATTGTTTTTGTGCAAAAGAGCATACAGGCAACAAATAACAATGAGCAAAAGGAAACGCAAGAAACAAGCAACAAGCAACAAGGAAAAGAAGGCAACAGCGGACCAGGGGACCAGGGGACCAGGGGACTAGGGGACCAGGGCCAAGATTTGGGCTCATAGACATAAGCAACAAGATTGATGATACATTATTGTTTTTTTTGACGCATGTGCCCTAGGAGGGAGCAAGGACCTATATATGTAGGACCAGAAGGACAGGGGACCAACCAAGGGACCAGGGGACCAAGGGACCACCGGACCAGGGGAGGACCAAGGGACCAGGGGACAAGCACAGAAATGCAGGAAAAGCGGAGAAGCAGTGAGAAGCAAGGAAAAGCAACACAAGCACGGAAAAAACAATACAAAATGCAAAAAAAAGAAATATACACCTCCTTCACAATTTCAAAGACGGCACATGGACAATGAGGGTCCTTGACAAGGATAGGATCGTGAGACATGATATGGACAAAAGTCTTCGGTTTTGGAGCCCCTGGAAGTAAAAATCTATTTCAATTATCTTCCAGCTTCACCCATTTTTCCCACACCTTAGTTAGTCCCATCAAGTCTGCAAGTTGCACGTCCGGCCTTGGCGCCCCAGACGTTGTGAGACCACCGGGGCTTTTTGGGGATCATTGCACGCGCGGCCTTGGCGGAGGACTGCTCTGATCGGGGCCCCTTAACCCCGCGTTCTTAGTACTCAGAATCTTTCAGAATGTATATAGATGGGGTTGGCCGCTTCTCTGGCTAGAGCAGTTGAATGGACAAGTGCCCAATTCACTGGCAGCAAGAAGCCAGTAGTAGCTCTTGGCCTCACTACTAGGAGCAAGAAGCTACTAGGAGCAAAGGGCACTCCTACAGGAGCAAGGACGCTACTAGGAGTGCCAAATTCGGATTGGACCTGAGCTCTTTGCCACTGCGAACAGCTGTCGAAACAGCAGCTGTGCGATTAGCATCCCTGGCGAGGTATGAAGGGAGCGGGGAGAGGAGTTCGGCGATCGGCAAGCTGTAAGGACTAATCTTAACTTTATGAACCGTGCAAATACAGCTTTCGTCACACCAATGAGGATAAGTCAAGCTCACTTGCTTGAATGAATTGGAATCCCCAAAGGAGGTTGCTCACCTACAGTGTTAATAAGCTATTGTAGCTATTCAGTTCTACCATCCTTTTACGTGCACACACACACAAAGAAGCCTATGTGAAAAGACTACCTGAGTAAACCAGCTAATATATGATAATAATTGGTAATATGCAATGCGGTCCGACCATCTCAAAAGTTCCAAAACTACAGCTCGAGCAATCGAGTCCAAAGGTTCGAATATCCAAGGCCCAAGATTTAGCCAAGTTATCACTGCAGGCACGCCAGACTGATCGGGTCTGGTTTCACCACCAACTGCAAGCATCTTCGTTGGCAGGCATGACACTTAGTGGGAAAGACTCGACATTAAAGTGGATTTCACAGCCTGCACAGCAGCCCACTCCCAGGAGGACGTCGTCACTGGTTCCCGCCTTGGAGGCCAGAGCCCAAGGCGACCAAGTGTGAGGTCTTTCCCTAAAAATGAATGGGTCGGCCCCCCAACCTCACATGCAACTCCACTAAGTCTGATTTTGTTGATGTCCAAAGCATGCTCTGTGACACTCGCAGGACCTGCCTGTGCAGTAGGATTTTTCAGGTGTCTTGCCTGAATCTCCTGCGTTAATGACACCACACACGGCCCACAAAACGGGAGCTGATCGTGTCTGATGAACCAAGTCTGCTCCTTGTAGCCATCCTTCAGAACTTGGGCAGCCCAAAGCACTGTGACCACCACCAGCACTCGCAGCACCAAGTCCTAAAAGCATCGGATGCTGGCAATTCGCAGCTGCATTAATGTGCTTCAAAAAAATGTGATGTATACAACTAAAGCCAACCACCGAACCCCCGAAAGCGGTTCATAGGGAGGTTCTGGTTTCAGGGTCGCGCCTAGTGCGTGGACCCACCGTCTGACACACCCTCTCCGGCCTTTGCGGACATGCCACGAGCCGGTTCTGGTCCTCCCCTCGGCTATGAAGCCTCGCAGCGTCAAGCCGAACCGTGGTGCGCGCGTGCCATTCGGGTCAGTGTGCGGAAACACCTCGGAATCCCCAACCCTGCTATAAATCTGGGAACAGCATCAGGAACAATAAGCTACTAGGAACAAGTGCCTTACTAGTAGTAACAAATGCCTTACTAGTAGTAACAAGAAGCTATTAGAAACAATAAATAGAATTTAATTAGAATATGAACAGCTATTGGGAACAGCTTGGTAAATGGATTTGGCCTATTTCTTAGCACCAATTCGTCGGCTGAAGAGATCGCCTTTACAACTTCAAGCAGCTTCAACTGAGCTGAGCCTGCTGAGCCCACTCAGCGGCAGTCCCCGATGCCTCACGGAGGGTCCAGGTCAGCCAGCAGGTTCTTTGAGCCGTTCAGCGAGCCTACCGGGCCTATGGATGGTCACTCGAAGCGCCAAAAAGTAAGGATCCGCAAGGTATCACAGTGCCGCAAGGATCTATCACAAGGAGCCAAGTCAAATGGAAAGGTGAACTTTTTGGTTCTCAAACACCTGCGCGTCGTCACCTGTAGAATCTGAAGTCCACTGGACTCGGACAAAGATCGAAGTCGCAACGGTTTTCCCCCTCGGAGCGCTATGGCCGGGTGCCATACCTTAATTGATCGATGGCTCGTGGCCATGGTGGAACCTTCTGAGATGCGAGAAAGCCACGACCAATCCGTTTTAGGATCTACAAAAAGGGTGCAGGTCAGGCTCCACCATGAGGAAAGTCGTTGCCATTCTTATTGTGTAATAATTTCGATTAATCTCGAAAGTCTTCTTGCTTGGTCCACCCCACACAACATCACCACTTTCCCTTCCACTGAGCCACCTAATGCTCCCACACCACCGGAGATCCCCTGGCCATCTGGCCAAAAGGATCAGCCTATGGTGCTGTGTTGCATGTTCCATGCACGAATTGCAAGCCCTGCTGGTGGCGTCCATCGCAGCATTCCCTCTGGTGCAAAGGAAAGACAGAAAGCTAAGTTTGGGGAGAACGACCCCAAAGGCACTTGTGTTTGCTCAAGTAACAAAGTCCGTAAAGATATCTCAGCCACCCCCTACCCTTCACAGGTGGCACGGAGGTATTTCCTTGATTCTAAGGATCAAACGCATAAGCACTATTGCAACTTACAACAAAGGACCTTTCGCCAAGACTCCAAGCGCTTTGTCCAAGTCAACCAGGTTGAAATAAGAGATAGCCAGAAGCAGCCGCTTAGATTGCCCTAGCCGTAACCTTCTCTGGCTGTTTGTATTGTTCCAACTGGTCTTCTCATCTTCTACAGTATCATGTGTATTTCTAAGATTTGTAGACCGAGTTACTTCGAGTGCTTCGGTTGTTTCAGACTTCACCAAGGTCGCCCCCAGCCGCATGTCATTTACACAGCCGGCGAGTTGAGCGCCCAACCTTGGTCAATGGGAGCACTCTTGGCACGACGATCCAACTGAAGTTTCACTCAGATTCAACTCGGCCTGCTCCCAGAGGATACTATAAATAATTTTGGTGACCTATGAGTGATTAACCCAAAAATATTGCGAGAAAAAACACTTGCCCTTGAGCCACTGAAGCAAGTGATAAAATCTCGCTCACCTCCGTTCAAGCGAAGGGTGAACCTAGCTCCAGTCTGACACCCATTCTGCACCAAGATTGACCGGGAAAGGAATTATATAGTAAATCCTCCAGTGTCTTGATTGCTCAAGAAAACGCCTGCGCCAGACCTTGACAGTCCGTAAAATGCCTGCATCAGCTGAACCAAACCAGATTTTGGGACCCATACCTGCCGGATCTTCACATTAACGCCGGCGCCAACTTCTTGGAGCCGCCGGGACCATGCCTCGATGCGGCCACAAGGCCCGACTCGCGAGAGGACCAGTCCCAATGGCTTGGCAGAAACTGGAAGTGGCACAAGCGCTTAGTTGATCAGGGCCCGGACCACGGGCAACGTGCTCCACCTGTGTATTTGGATGCCAACAAAACCCTAGATTTTGGTGGGTTCTGGGGGAGCACAAAGTCTTTACAACGCAACATGTGCTCTCCAG